GGGGGCAAATGCCCCCCAGTCCCCCCTTGTGCCCCCCCCCACGAAATCACATTTTGCCCCCCCAGGAAAAGTCCCTTTTCCCTAAAATTATACAAACAAACCAGCGAAGATTAACAAATACATAAACGGAAAGTAAGTTTTAGGCTTTATCCTTTGTCCTTTGTCCAAAATCGATTTAAATTGTTTCTTTTTTCTACCACTAAGTAATGATAAATTATTGTTAATAATTTTTTTATTTTTTGGATGCTCAGAATGCAGGAAATAGCATTTCCGGGTTTCAAATTTCAAAAATTTTCTGGGGATTATCCCTCTAATAAGTAATGAGAAATTACAGTTAATATTCTTTTTTACTTTTTGTGCATTTTTTCCATCTTTTATTTGAAATACAAGTATAGTTAGCATAAATTTTAGAGCAAATTTGAATGCTCAGAATGCAGGAAATGGCATTTCCGTGCTTCAAATTTCAAAAATTTTCTGGGGGAGTACACCCCACACACCTGACCATTGCTATCCTCCTCTAATAAGTAATGATAAATGATGGTTAATTTTTTTTTACTTTTTGTGCGTTTCTTCCTTTATTTATTTCAAATACAAGTACAGTTAGGATAAATTTTGGAGCAAATTTGGATGCTCAGAATGCATGAAATGACATTTCCGGGAGTCAAATTTCAAAAATTTTCTGGGGGAGTACACCCCCAGACACCCCATTCATGCGTGGTATATTTTCCACACACGTGGCTTTCAGCCATTGCTATCCCCCTCTAATATATTATCTCACAGAAAGGTCCCTTTTCAAAAAATGCCCCCCCCCCCACGGGAAAATCCTTAAAAAAGGCCCTGCTTAGCCGATGGGAAATGCATTCAAAAAATTTCGTATGAATATGTTTGGTATTTCTTGAGTTATCGTGCACACATACACACACACATACTGTACACACACACACACACACACACACACACACACACACACACACACACACACACACACACACACATACATACATACATACATACATAGTACATACATACATACATTTGATAGTTGTTCCCTATAGCCGGGCTTTTCAACAACCATTTACATTGAAATTAGTAGAATCGGTAACAGACATAAAATAAATCGAGATAGACTGCAAGCTTACAAATGGCACTTTAAGCTGCTGCTGTTAGTCCATGTCCCTTTTAATAGCCTAACATGCCACCTTGTTGATTTTGTAGAAGGGGGAACCAGAACTCGTACCCGGGGGAAAAACCCTCGTTCAGCACAGGAGAGATCAACTAAACTCTGCTCACTTGGTTAGTCACCAGGCGGTGACTCTGGACTTAACCAGGGGTGGAAAAAGTATCGGAACCTGGGAACCTAGTTCCCAGAAATTTTCTTGAGTTGAGAGTTTTGCAGAAAATTTTCCAGAAAATATTTCAACATTTTGAGATAACTCTGTTTACTCAACTTACAAGTTACAACTATTCTACTTTATTTACTGTACATTGTACATGCTAACATCAGCAGTTTTTAAACATTTGACAGAAATGAATTCTTTTACCCACTCCTGCCATCACAATGACTGGTAAAATAGTAAATATATGCTCTGCAAAGTCTCCAATAAAATGCAAATTGAATAGTAAACAAATAAAAGTGATGGAATAAATAAGATGATAGGGCACTTAGTTAAGCGTTAGATCCTTACTATGTTTGTGATGTTATTCTGAGTGTGTATCCACACCGGGCAAGCTTGAAAAATATGCCTGGCCACGGTGGGAATCGAACCTACGACCTTTGGAATACTAGCCCACTGCTCTGCCAGCTGAGCTACGTGGTCAGGTCGGTTCGAGTATGTGATATTTCAGAACTGAGTTTAGTTCCTTCGACATCAATGCAATCTAAAAATCATGATTTTTTGTGTTGGTGTTGTGTTCTTAGGTGAATATGATGTTTGTGATGTTACTCTGAGTGTGTATCCACACTGGGCAAACTTGAAAACTATGCCTGGCCACGGTGGGAATCGAACCTATACGACCTTTGGAATACTAGATTACATTGATGTCGAAGGAACTAAACTCAGTTCCGAAATATCACATACTCGAACCGACCTGACCGCGTAGCTCAGTTGGCAGAACATTGGGCTAGTAATCCAAATGTCATAGGTTCAATTCCCATCGTGGCCAGGCATATTTTTCAAGTTTGCCCGGTGTGGATATACACTCAGAGTAACATCATATTCACCTTAGTACATAACACCAACACAGAAAAAATTAAGATCCTTACTAGTTGGTCATAACTCATAACTGTGGTATATAACAGACAACTATTGTGATGTACAAGCATACGAAAACCAGCCTATTAAGCCCATTATTACTAAAGTACAAATAATACAATAATTATGCATTTGTTTTGTTATTTTTGTAATTGTAACATTACAGATTTTACAGAAAATTTCTAGCCTTCGACCCAGGTTCCCAGAAAGAAAAAAATTTTTTCCACCCCTGGACTTAACCCTGGACTGACCGGGTTTAAATATTGGTGAGAGGCGATGCGTTAGCCACATACCCCACCCGTGCTTCCCAAATACAGAATCTTTTAAACCTTTTATTCTGCTTACCATTCTCTTGATCTCATCTGCCAAACCCATACATTCTCGGCATTTGCAGTTAGCACCAGGTCCAACTTTAAATCCTCCAAGTTCTTGCAGTCCCAGATTATCACCAGATACAAAGGCAATTGATCCACGGAATGTCCTTTTTCTGCCAGAGATGGTGAATTCATAGCCATTATCATTTTCCAACTCTGCAATTTCATTCATAATGGGCTCCAATATGGCATTTACTCCATACTTGTTCATCACAGATCTTTTGACAAGTGGCCCAGAGTTGAATTGCTTTTAATTGAGAGCGGTATCTTGGTTGTATATTGCCAAGAGTGTAGTAGAAGAAACCTAAAATCAAGAAGCATAAATCTGAAAACTGAAAATAGCATAGTAGGGTGCACTGGTCAGGGGACACAAAAACAAGTTAACCCATTAAGCGGCAATGCGCCCCAGTGCACCCTGACTTTTTACTTTACTCTGTCTAATGTCAGACGATTTTACTTGTCAAGGGGAGACCCTTGCAGCTTAATGGGTTAATGTGTTTCTCATTATAAAACTATCTCTGTTAACTCTTTCCCCGCCAAAGGTACAGATAAGCTACATGTGCAGATACGCTACATTTTTAGCAATGTTCTCTCAATTAGCAATTGAGATACTGTCATAAAAGAGACGTGTCAGACGTGAATATAGTGTAAATCAGTAATACTATATATACACAAATATTATACCTATCTTGTGCTTTTTTGTTTTGCTTCCCAGAGGATTAACACATTCAACCTCATCAAAGTATAATATGATTTGCAAGGCACTAGGATCTCTTGAAAAGAGAGGGTGTAATTTGCAAGCTTCGCTATCACAGTAGTCATAGATTCGACCATTATCTATGGTATTAGCATGTGGTTGTTCAACCTAAAAATGAAAAAGGGAGCTTATAATACAAATTCATACAGTGTACTCATGCACAACAATGTATTGAACACTTACCTCTTTAATGACTGATGGCTCATTCAACATAGCTTCAAGGCTTTTAAGAAGAGGAACCAGAACCATTTCATGTGGTTTTGCAACCCTCTTCCTTTTGGTACCAGCTCTGACACGAGTATGGTGATATCCAAATACATGTCGTATGGGTTCCTATAGAAAAAAGCCCTACCAGTACAGTACAGTACAGTACAGTACAGTACAGTACAGTACAGTACAGTACAGTACAGTACAGTACAGTACAGTACAGTACAGTACAGTACAGTACAGTACAGTACAGTACAGTACAGTACAGTACAGTACAGTTTGACAGAACACAATTAATATTAAAAGTATGGAACCAACCAGTACAATATAGATATACAGTATGTACTATACACTACAGTAATGTACTGCACAGGGCATATAATATTGCTGGGCCATGCTTTACTGTGTGGAATGTTGTACATACTGTACTGTGGTGCCATACATGCTATATTGGGGTCTTGTAGATGGAAATTATCAAGTGGAAATTTATACACATTTATTAGACCTAACCAGGAACAGCTGCAAAAAATGCAACTATATAGGTCCCTGGCAGGAATATATATATATATATATATATATATATATATATATATATATATATATATATATATATATATATATATATATATATATATATATATATATATATATATATATATATATATATATATATATACCTACAGTACCATTCTGTATTCTTTATATGTGTTGTGGACGTGGTGTTATATGCTTAGCCGACGGTGCTTCTATCTGCTATATGTAGTGCTTTTCTGTCTTGAGCGGTGTGGTATATTCCATTCAATTATGTCCAATATATTATGTTATTAATTTTTCTATGCTTTGTTGTGCCATAATACCCCACTATATAGTGTGCTACACTGTGCTATAGTGTATGCTGTATTAATTGCACTGTATTAAACTGTTCTATACCATACAAGTATGTGCTAAGCTGTGTTGTATTGTATTCTGTTGTGTCATACTCCTGATGTGCTGTGGTATGCAGTGCCATATTGCACTATATTGTGCTGTACTGTGATGTGTTACGTACACTGTTCTGAATATGCTTTACTGTTTTTACTGCACTACTGCACCATACTGTGTGTATACCATACTATACCATATCTTAATGTGTTGAGCTGTCTCATATTGTATTGTTGTGCCACACCGTACTCTACTGTTTAAGTGCCATACAGTGATTATATGCTGTACGGTACTATGCAGTGCCTTTACTATACTGGCTATATTACTACACTACATTGTGAATATGGTGTCGCACTATTCTGTATTGTTCTTTACTTTTTTGTATGGCACCATTATGTGATATACCGCACTGTGCCATATACCCACTGTGCTATTATCTGTGTCATATTGATTTGTACTGTGCTGTTGTGTACTCAGTTGTGCTGTACAGTACAGTACAGTACAGTACAGTACAGTACAGTACAGTACAGTACAGTACAGTACTGTTCTGTTCTGTTCTGTGCCAAATGGCTGACAGTGTATTATTCTTGTGATGTGTTGCACTATATGCTGTGCCATATTAACACTACAGTACATAGGTTGGACGGGGCTGTGGTAAACTTTTTTTGGCCCATGACGCCCTAAAGTAGGGCCTCATGGGCCAAAAAAGTCTAATTCTCAAGGCTGAGAGGGTATTGCACATAGCTCAAACAATCACCTCAAACTGTATTGTGCTGCACTGAATTGTTATGTGTTATAAACTTTGCTGTATTTCACTGCATGTGCTACCGTAATCTGAACCATATGGGAAATTGTGCTGTACTGTCCTTTGATGTATTGCATTCTCAGGAATATAATTGTACTGTAATGTACTGTGCTATGCAAAATTGTAATATATTTTGTTGCACTGTAATGAAATTTACTGTGTGTTTTCATAGCTATCATGTCTTGTTTTAACTAATCAATAGTGCATTGTATTGTACTGTATGACAAGGTACCATGTAATTGCTATGTTTAAATTTAATGTAATAAAACACATCACAACAGAATATTAAAAATAAGTTGTAATAAAACACTGCATCATTGAGCTGCTGTGACCAAGAATGTCACTCCTCTCATCTGAATATTTATATTAAACACGAAATAAAACATGTTCTCTTACCTGAAACATGAATAATGTAGTTCTTGTTTCCCTTTTGTATACGTTGTCACGTTTTTTTCTTGAGTGCAGTTGAAAGGAAAGCAATCTGAGCGAGTTAAAACTATTAAAAATAGCCGAAAACACGACGCCATTTTGCTTCCAGGCTCCTATGACAAATAACTCCAATAAAGGGAGTTATATTTGAATAACTCCACTAACTAGTTTGCCAGTATCCTAGAACTCCTCAAAAAGAGTTATTATGACTCCTGATATGGGGTTAACATAGCCCTAAAATTTTAACTCCACCAAAAAGGAGTAATAGGGGAGTTATTTTAACTCCCTGGAAATCTGTTACTCCTCTCACAGAGTTATTTTAACTCCAAATTTGGAGTTAAACTAACCTTAAAATTTTAACTCCACCAAAAAGGAGTAATAGGGGAGTTATTTTAACTCCCTGAAAATAACAGTGCAGGCATGCATGATAATGCATACATCTTGATGAGTTAGCCAAACTTTATCTGCATGCCAATTTCTTTTGTTAGTATATAAAGAGGTGAAAATAAAACAAAGCTATTTTATTAAATGGTATATAACTAACATGTATTTTTAATTAAATATGTTTTAGCCAACTGACAGTGTCGACGAAGAGCTGAAGCAGGCAGTGTCACCTGCAATTCTTCTGTGTGGCGAATCTCTGTTTGACACGACAGTCATGTATGTTGTTGGAGACGGGAAATTGCTGTGTGCTGTGTCGCGGGAAGACAAGCTTCTAGATGCCCTGATGTTGTTGTTCTGTGTACATTACACATACAACTACGATTACAAGGTGCAACGAAATGCCATGATATTTTTAGAGAAGGCTTCTTTTGGAGTGGACTTGCATGTCAAGCTGCCTCTCACTGTCACGCAAACAATAAAACTGTTGGGTCAATGAGAGACAAACTGATGTTGATTCAAACATTCATGTATAAATTGTATTATATGTAATATTATCTTATGTATTTTAATATAATTTTGAAACAAACCATATGTGGTAATAGTACTTTAAAGTGCCCCTGTCACAAAATGAGAGTTTACATCATTAGAATCGTCTTGAAAAGTAGATTATGAAAATACAAAACAGATTTAAAATTGAGCTTGTTTTCACAGAGTAATAAGGCAATGTAATTTGAAAATTTCAAATTTTAACGGCAAAAGTTTTTGAAAACCGCGAAGCTGGGAAATTGGTAACTAATACGTCATAGTAGGAAGACATTGCCTTCTCGCCTAAGTGAAAAGTATATAAATACTAAGTGAGAATCACAATCAAGCTGGTCAAAATTCGATACAAATGTCTTCGTTGAGTTCAGATACGGAAAATAACAGTTACCAAAGCGATGACTGCCTGAAATTATATTCCTGGGCCGTATCAAATCGAGTGAAATCGATGAAAACACCAGTGAAGCGTGGTCAACGTCGTGCGCACAAATGATCGGCGCTGCTTGATCCATATGTTACATGCAATGAACCATGCAGTGACCGACGAAGATGGCTCAAAAGTTACCGCGAAAAAGAGCAATCACAACGAACGTCTTAAGCAATTACAACAAAGGCTTGATAGTTCAGAAGAATTGAGTAAATG